ACTGGGCTCTCGCTTGCACATCTGAAGATGAGCTTTCCCAGCCACCTCCCTGGCGTGGTGTGGCCACTGATTCCATAGGGCTCTAACAAAGGAGACAGTGAGACGTGGGTCACTAAAAGGGCGGCTGTGTCCCCTCTCCCGTTCCCTGCTGGCAGGGGGATGGCACGAGCTCTAACAGCTCTGTGAGTGCTCTGGGAGCAGCAGGGAAGGATGGCACGGTGCCTTCCCGGCCTTGGGCCTCTCCGTCTTGGACTGCATATGAGAACAATGATTAGATTCTAGGCTAACACAATTACATTTGAGAAAATGAAGAACAGAGTTCATCTTTTAACATCTGTCAACCTAGACAGCAGGTATCTTTATGAATGTTTGCACACCAACAATAAGAATGGCAACTAATCACAAAAAAATACCCAACAACTTCTGTTAGTTCTCAATATTTAAGATCTGTTGTAGGTAATGTGCAGGGAAATCTATCCTGGACACTAGCTCTATCTACAGTGCATGTGCTTGGAGAACATTTCAGAAAGTCACCGAAGCTTTACAATTTGAGTGTCAAAAGCTATTTTATAAAACAACAAATTGCCACTCTTTTTCATTTCAAATACTGGCATTAACATCACTATGTGGCCGGCACAGCGGCTCACTAGGCTAATCCTCCACCTTGTGGCGCCGGCACACAGGGTTCTAGTCCCGGTTGGGGCGCCGGATTCTGTCCCGGTTGCCCCTCTTCCAGACCAGCTCTCTGCTGTGGCCCGGGAGTGCAGTGGAGGATGGCCCAAGTGCTTGGGCCCTGCACCCCATGGGAGACCAGGAGAAGCACCTGGCTCCTGCCATCGGATCAGCGCAGTGCGCTGGCCGCAGCGCGCCGGCCGTGGCGGCCAATGGAGGGTGAACCAATGGCAAAGAAAGACCTTTCTGTCTCTCTTTCTCACTATCCACTCTGCCTGTCAAAAAAAAAAAAAAAAAAAAAAATCACTATGTAAATGCTTGTTCCTTTTCTTTTCCCATGGCTAACTCCAGCGAAACTTTTAAGCTAGTCTCACACATGAAAAAAAGTTGGCAGGTAGCTCATTTATAAAATAATCCAAATACTTACTTGCCACCAGACCTAAAGTACAATCAATCAAGAAATCAATCAAGAAAAGAGCTTAGAAGTCTGAAGGCAGTCAGTCCCCTTTTCCCCACTAAAGAAGAAATAGGGTTAAGCCTCATCAAGTTCCCACAGTAAGGCTTGCTATACATATTTACCTTATCAGGAAGATTTTTATCTCAAAACAAACAAAAAAAACCCTGAAGTTCTTCAGGCAGGACAAGACCAACTGCCTGTCCAGACTCACAGTCGACAGGACAAACTTTCCTTTGAAACCTTTAGAAACACTAGGTTTTAGTGCTGCTGCCTTATTCACATACAAGTTAAAACCTCTAGGGGAAACAATCAAATTCGTTACGGTTGCAATATTCTCTTACATAGCCGTTATAAATAAGCATGTAGAGTGGACTCTACTAGACACTACTACTCAGACCCAAGGGTACAGTATGTGTCAGACATAATAAAGAGTGATAAGCTTTCACACAGAGCAAGGCAATGATTAAACCCTGGATACTGACGCTGCTTAATGAGGGGTATATCAAATCATCAAGGAAATCAAAGCACTCAGTAGCTGATGCCATTAAAATGTCATACATCTCAATTACCTTCAAGATAAAAGGAAAAAGACAAGAACAAGAACTAGGGGCCAGCACTGTGGCACAGCAGGGTAGGCTGTGCAGTAGTTCAGGTCCTGGCTGCTAGACTTCCAATCCAACTTCCTGCTCATGTGCCTGGCAAGGCAGAAGAAGACGGTCCACGAGCTTGGGTCCCTGCCACCCACGGGGGAAACCCAGATGCGGTTCCAGGCTTCGGCCTCACCCAGCCCTGACCAGTGAGACCATCTGGGGAGTAAACCAGGACATGGAAGATCCCTCCCTCCTCTCCGTCCCCTTCCTGATAACGCTGCCTTTCAAATAAATACATTTTTAAAAATACTTTTGTTTTTAAAAATCACTGTCTCTACAGTCATCTTCACTCTGGACCCTCAAGGTAAGCACAGCCTGAGCTCTCGAAACTGCAAGCAGCCCTCACTGCCGAGTCCTAACTCAGCAGCTTAGAAGAATCACTGGGCCAGCAAGGGGAGCTCTGCTTTTTATAAGAATAAATGATGGGGGCAGGTGGGAACAGAGCTGTGGCACAGCGGGTAAAGACGCTGCCTGCAATGCCGGCATCCAGTATGGGTACTGGTTCGAGTCCCGGCTGCTCCAATTCTGATCCACCTCTCTGCTATGGCCTGGGAAAGCAGCAGAAGATGGCCCAAATCCTTGGGCCCCTGCACCAATGTTGGGGGCTGGGAGGAAGCTCTTGGCTCCTGGCTTCAGAATGGCCCAGCTCCAGCCACTGTGGCCACCTGGGGAGTGAACCAGTAGATGGACGATCTCTCTCTGCCTCTGCTTCTCTGTAACTCTGCCTTTCAGACAAATAAATAAATCTTTAAAAAAAATAAATGATTCAGTTACATAATATGTATTCATATTTGAAAATAAATCCTAGAAAAGTAGAGATTTGTGAAAATTAAAAAGCTTTGTGCTAAAACATTACCAAAAAAGTAAAAAGGTATCCAACAGAATAGGCTAAAACAGTGATACATTTTCCAGCGGGTAAGGATTTGCCATCCAGAATGTACACTGTGGGGTGGGGGTTCAACCTGGCAGTTAAAGATGCTGGTGAAAACATCTGTGTCCCGTGTCACAGTACCTGGGCTCGAGTCCCTCTCCAGCTCCTGACCCTAATGCAGACCCTAGGAGGCAGCAGTGACGCCTCAGGTAATTGGGCTCCTGCCACCACATGGGAGACACAGTTGGGTGCCAGTACCCAACTCCTAACCTCAGGCACATCCTGTCCCCAACAACTGCAGGCTGGAGAGTGAACTCTCTGCCAAGTAAATAAATAAATAAATAAATAGTTTTAAAACCTATAACCGAAAGAATAAATAACTCTCACACACAACAAAAAGACAAATGGCCCAATTAAGAAAGGGCAAAAGATACGAAAAATTTCTTTAAGAAAAGATAAATTACTAAGAAGTACATGAAAATATATTCGACATAATTAGTCATTAAGGAAACGCAAATCAGCATCACAATGAGCTACAACTTCACATCCACTTAGGATGGTCAGAATAAAAACTGGAAAGTAACAAGTATTGGTGAAAGAGTAGACAGATTAGAACCTTCATACATTGCTGGTGGGGATGTAAAATGATTCAGTCGCTGTGGAAACAGGGTAGTGTTTCATCAGAAAGCTAAATATAGAATTACTATCTGAGCAAGCAATTCTATGCCTAGGTACCTACCCCATGGAATTGAAAACAGGGACTTAAATAGGTACTTGTACACTCACGTTCATTATTCACAACAGCCAAATGCAGAAAGTCACCCATGTGACCAAGAACAAATGACTGGCTACGCAAAACTTGGTCAATACCTAAAACAGAACGGTGTTCAAGCACACCAAAAGAATGAAGCACGGATACATGCTATGGCACTGATGAACCGTGAAAACATATGAAGTAAAATAAGCCCAACATGTAAGGAAAAAGATATTCAAACACTTCTATGAAATACCTAGAACAGGCAAATGCACAGAAACAAATTAGGTGAGAGGTTTCCAGGGGTTAGGACACAGGCCGAAAATGCTTGTGGATATAGTGTTTCTGTCTTGAGGGGTATGCACAAAACTTGGAAACAGTGATATTAGCATAACACCATGAGTATAATTAAAGCCACAGAATCGCATACTTAAGGATGGTGTACAAAGAAATTTGATTCTCTATATATTTTATCATAGAAAAAAAAGCTTTAAAAAAAAGACCCCGAGGCACCACTTGACACTGCAAACTGGAACCCTCCTACACTGCTGGTGGGAACGTAAAATGGCTCAGCCTCTGTGAAGCGGTGTGGCGTCGCTGCCGTCTAAATGTCTGTGTCCCTCCAGAATTGCTGAGCCGAGACCTGATCCCAAGGTGATGGCGGTAGGAGGCGGAGCCTCTGGGAGGCAGTCGGCTCACGAGGGATCGTGCCCCTGTAAGAGACACAGAGAAGGCTGCCCTCCTCTTCCCCAGATGCCACACAGCAAGAGGCAGGGCCATCTCCGAAGCAGAGTGAGCCTTCGCCGGGCAGCACATCTGCCGGCCCGACCCTGGATCCCAGTCTCCAGGACACAAGCTACAGTCTCTGTTCTTCAGAAGGTACTCGACCTGTGGTACTATTTGCTAGCAGTTTGAATGGACTAACACAGTGGTTCCTCAAAAAGCTAAACACGGAACTGCCAAATGACCCCACGAGTCCACTCCTACGTATACACCTCAAAGAACAGATGACAGGCAACTCTCTAAGTGTATGTACAGGCACGCCCACAACACTATTCACCACAGCCAAAAGCTAGACGCAGCTCAAGCACCTAGCAACCGAAGAGTGGGTAACCAAATTTTGCTTTATAAATACAATGGAATATTATTTAGCAGTAAAAAGGAACGATGTACTGACTCACGCTACAACATCAAAGACATCAAACACATTCTGCTGTGTCAAAGAAGCAGAACAGAAGTGGTCACATCCACTACGATTACGTCTCTGCGAAATCCACAGAGACAGAAATCCGCAGAGACAGACTGCAGACGGATGGCTGCTGGAACTTCAGGAGAAAGGGAATGGGAAGAAACTTCCTGATGGGTGAGGGGTTTTGCCTGGGAGTGACTGCAACGTTTTGGAACCACAACAGAGGCCACAGTGGTACCATACTGTGAAAGTGCTAGATATGACTGGATTTTTCATTTTAAAGCTGTATATTTTATGTTGTGTGAATTTCACTTCAATCAACTATTAGGAAAAGAACATTTCTCAAGGATCTAGTAACTGAACATACCGGAAACTATAAAGAGAACTTACAAAGAAGGATCAGTAATCAGAATCCACTGGTATGATGCTCAAAATTCCAATTATGTAGAGTTCTGGATAAAAAAAAAAAATAATGGCCTGGACAGGTGTTCAGCCCACCAGTTAAGACAGCTCGGACAGGTGTTCAGCCCACCAGTTAAGACGGCTCGGACAGGTGTTCAGCCCACCAGTTAAGACGGCCTGGACAGGTGTTCAGCCCACCAGTTAAGACGGCCTGGACAGGTGTTCAGCCCACCAGTTAAGATGGCCTGGACAGGTGTTCAGCTCACCAGTTAAGACAGCTCGGACAGGTGTTCAGCCCACCAGTTAAGACGGCTCAGACAGGTGTTCAGCCCACCAGTTAAGATGGCCTGGACAGGTGTTCAGCCCACCAGTTAAGATGGCCTGGACAGGTGTTCAGCCCACCAGTTAAGATGCCCACGTCCCTTACTGGGACACCTGAGCTCGAGGCTCGGTTCTGTGTTGTGACTCCAGCTTCCTGGAATGTGCACCCAGAAGGCGGCAGTGATGGCTCCAGTAATGGGTTCCTGCCACCAACACTTTGGTCCCAGCTTAACCTTAGTCACCACTATTGTAAGCATGAGGAGTGAACCAGCAAATAGGAACATTCTTTCAATCATGCACTTTTCCTTTCAAAGAAATTAATGAAAAATAAAATGCAGGGGCTGGTGTTGAGGCACAGCAGGTTAAGCCACCGCCTGCAACACCAGCACCCCATACTGGAGTGCCAGTCCAAGCCCTGGCTGCTCTGCTTCTGTCCTACTTCCTGCTAATGAACCTGGGAAGGCAAAGGAAGAGGATTCAAGTCCTTAGGCCCCTGCCACACATGTGTGAAACCAGGATGGAGGCCCTGGCTCCTGGCTTTGGTCTGGCTGTTGCAGACATTTGGGAAGTGAATGAGTGGAAGGAAGATCTCTCTCTCTTTCTCTCTCTCTCTCTCTCTCTCTCCCTCCCTCCCTCCCTCCCACAATGCCTTTCAAATAAATAAATCTACTTAAAAGCAGAGCTGGGAGTCAAACCAGGCACTTTGATATGCGATGTGGGCATCCCAAGTGGCGACTCAACCACTGCTCCAAATGCCTGTCTATTGAGTATCTACTTTTTTATGCCTTAAATTTTTCAGTTACCTCTGGGTTTATTCCTCGTCTTATGGCCCTAAAATTTCCTTTTACTTTGCTGCACAAGTGATAAGATCTGGTGGCTTGTCTGCCTAGTTCTTACATGCACATCCTGTCATCTGATACATTTAATTTTTTTAAATTATTATTTGAGAAGGAGGGGGAGGGGGAGGAGGAGAAGGGGGTGGGATGGAGGTGAGGGAGAGAGGGAGAGAGAGTGGGAGAAGGGGAGGGAGGGGGGAGGGGGAGAGGGAGAGAAGGGGGAAGGAGAGGGATAAAACACACCCATCTGCTGGTTTACTCTTCCAAAGCCAACAACTGTCAGGACTGGGCTAGGCCAAAACCAGGAGCCAAGAACTCAACCCAGGTTTCCCACGTGTGTGGCAGGAACCCAATTACTTGAGCCATCGCCTGCTGTCTCCCTGAATGTGCACTAGCAGGAAGACAGAATCAGGAAGCAGAGCATGGGATCTGAGCCCAGGCACTCCAGTACGGGATGTGGGCATCAGGAAGACAGGATCAGGGGGCAGAGCATGGGATCTGAGCCCAGGCACTCCAGTACGGGATGTGGACATCAGGAAGACAGGATCAGGGGGCAGAGCATGGGATCTGAGCCCAGGCACTCCAGTACGGGATGTGGGCATCAGGAAGACAGGATCAGGGGGCAGTGCATGGGATCTGAGCCCAGACACTCCAGTACGGGATGTGGGCATCAGGAAGACAGGATCAGGGGGCAGTGCATGGGATCTGAGCCCAGACACTCCAGTACGGGATGTGGGCATCAGGAAGACAGGATCAGGGGGCAGTGCATGGGATCTGAGCCCAGACACTCCAGTATGGGATGTGGACATCTGAACCACCGGGCAAACACCTGCCCCATGCATGCTTTTCATGCTATCACTTACGTCTGATAATTCCACTTGCTGGAAATACTCCCTCTCTTCACAAACCACATACTCTTTCCTTGCTGAGGTATTTGCTAATACCTGCCTTGCCTGCTAGGTTGCAAACCCTGTGAAGGCAACGACCATATTCACTTTGCTTTGTCTTTAGTCTTAACACTAACACACTCCTGGGCACAAAGTAAATAATAAACGTTGCATGTTTTACAAGCTTAAACTTGTTTACAATTATTAAAATATCTATTAAAATATTATTAACATGCTGTACTAGACAGTCACTCTAAGTATGCTTGCTTTATATAAGACAAGGCTCCTTTTCCGTGTACCAAGCCAAACGCAGCCTTTTTGGAATTTAGACAAGCATGGTTACTTTACTATCCAATTACCTCAAAGAAAGCATGCAAAAATCTGGTAGCAGTGCCAATCATTGTTAAAGACATCATTCACCTTTAAGTTTTATGCTTCCAACATCAAGAAAACTCTAATCACAGTTTTGATGTCTAACTTATCATCCTCCTGAGAAACTTCAAGTAGTGAGCCTCGGCTGCTCGACTTCTGATCCAGCTCCTTGCTAATGCACACACGGAAGAAGCAGAGGGGAGAGGCACCAAGATGGCAAAATAGGGAGGGAGCTGAACGCTCTAGTCCAAGGGAAGATAGTTAAAAACAATGTGGAGAGAGTGTAATTTCAGGGAAGAGTTAGGGAGAGAATGGGAGAAGAAACTCCACACAAGCTAGCAGGACCCTGGGGATCTATGTGGAGGGTGTGGGTGCACACAACTCAGGACCCCAGCAGCTGAGAGCCTCAGTACCAGCTTTGGAGAGGGAAGTGAGATCAGACCGCAGCAGTCCAAGCACCGGCAGGAAGAGCCTGGCTTGGTGCCCTGTTGTGGAGAGTATACCTGCCAACCTAGAGGGAAAATAAGGGGGCATGTTTCTCCCTCCCCAACCACCTGGCATCAGTGTCCTGTAACTAGCCGAGAATGGGCGGGCGCCATTTTGGACATTTATAACAGTTTCACTCAGCAACCAGTGGAAAGGAGACATCTGACTCTGGCTAGGAGAGCTGGCAGGGGGTTGGGAGCTCGTGACTGTGGGAGCCGTGTGTGTGTGTGCTGGGACTGTGTAAACACTGTGCCTGCATGTGAGGGCGCAGGGTGTGGCTGGGTCTTTTAGCAGTCACTGTGGGCGGCTCCACGTGCTTAGGGTTTCCTGATTCCCTGGTAAGGGTTTTTGCTGCGGGATCTGTGCTCACACCAAGGACTACACAGATCCTTAGTGTGGTTCTTGTGGCAGCGTTGATGAATATTGTACCCACAGGGGCTAGTGCCCAGGCATTGGTCTCCTTGGAGGAGGTGAGGGTGAGACTATGCCAACAGAGCTGAACAAACCTCCCCTCTGATTTAAAAAATAAAAAAAGATTTACCACGCCCAATTTGGGTGTCACTTTGGACACTCCCCTTGGAGCACTGAACAGAGCTCCCTGGACACACCCAGCACACCCCTCTGGGTATTCACTGAAAGAGCAGGCACTCCACTAAGCCACAGAGGAAAAGATAAAACCTATCACAGGGAAGAAAAAAAAATAATAAACCAACAACTATCTCTACAAATGCCTAAAAATAAATGCAAGTCAAGAAACAAGAATAAGGAAGATAACATGATGCCCCCAAAGGAATACAATACTTCAATACTAGAATGTAAAAATGAAGATTCAAGAAATGCTGAAATGGAACTCAAAAAAATAATTGTAGGATTACTTAGAAGTAATCAGAAGCAAATTCACAAACTAAAGAAGTCCATACATGACACGAAAGAATTTTTTTTCATGAAATTCACTCTAAAGAGAAATCAAAATGAAACATTGGAAATGAAGAATTCAATAGATCAAATAAAAAAAGTGGTGGAAAGTCTTAACAGAATCAGTGAGGCAGAAGAAAGAAATAATCAAGTTACAGTCAGACAAAAAAAAAAAAGAAGAAGAAATTAGAAAACTAAACAATGGTGTTGGAGGTCTATGGGATACTGTCAAATAACCCAACATAGGGGTCTTAGGAATTCCTGAAGGTGTGGAAAGAGCAAATGGATTAGAAGGACTTTTTAGTAAAATAATTAATTCTCATACAGTGTTTAGTAAGTAGGAATTTCTAATCAGATTTTACTGTAGTTTTTCCATTAGAGGATGTCACTTTCTGTTGACAAAACTGTAGATGTACAGTTTTGTCAATATAAATTATGTGTTTATATTTTCTGCTGCTGAAAAATATAATTTATTTGCTACAGCTAACCTAATCATAATGATCATACAAAAGGTCCATGATTGTATGTATATGGTAGATTACTGTTCAGCAAATATGCACTGCCCCCTAGTTCCAATCTCTGTGTTGAAACTGGCCTTTCATTTGCTTAGTAAACGGGACACAGACAAAAATCAAAGGGTGCTACATCCAGGCCTAGGCATTTAAGAGGCATCAGATGTTTCCAGTGATCCTCTGGGAACTTCCGAATGCTGCCAGGAGAAGAATCCGCCCCAGGTAGCCCACTGATCATGGAAGAATGCGCAGACCTACCGGAATCCACGGCCTGCAGTGAAACTCGGCTATGCTCAGTAAGCCCAGTCCAGACCGGCCAATCTCTAGTGATTCAAAGGTTCACAGGGAAAGATACTGCTTCCTGCTAGACGCCACTGAGATCTGTGGTTGTTTGCTGTGCACCAATGTGTAAGAAAAAAATACGATACACGTAGTCTTAAAAATCTCGCTTGATTATGTAATGTTTTCCTCCATTCCCTCTACAGAAATAGGATTCCTGGGCATGCTTAAACTCCTGTGGCTGCCAGTCCGTTCCCACAACCGTGTTTAAGTTTTCAAAGAGTTGACTGCATTTGTTCTCAAACCTGTTGATATTCAACATAAAATAAATGGAAAAGGCAACTGAATTACTGTTTCTATAAACACTAAACTGAGTGGTTTGGAATGACTGAACAGAGGTGAGGGATTAAATGCAAAACAGTCACATTAAATGTGGTAATGCTACTACTCAAAGTGTAAAAAAGTGAAAAAAAAAAAAAAACAGTAAATTTTGCCTGTAGATTGCTTTACAAGTTTATTAGTTTATTCCCCCTCTTTATAAAACAGAATATGCAAAGCACATGGATTTCAGAATTCCTATGCAAAAAAATGACATAAAGGCCCAAAAAGAAAATTGACAGTGAATAAAAAAAGTTAAAGTTTTTAATCGCTTCTTGGCCTTTTGGCTAAGCTCCAGTGTAAAATAAAAGTTTAAGACAGTATACATGATTTTTTATGCTTTTTTTTTTTTAACCAACCAACTACAGTTCTATCAGACAAAAGGGCTTCTACGACACTTCAGCCTACTAGAATCCTAGTGGAGGTATTATGATCATCAGGGCTGCAATGTTTGTTGTTGAGACTCCTACTTATAAAAGAACTTAAAGTCCCTGCATTGAGTTTGAATACCACCATTTTACTGCACGGTGAGTTTCAGTGGTGCT